ACACAGGAATAACTATTTATATACCTAGGAATCTATTTGCCTAAGTAGTTATCTGGACAAAAGCGTTAATTATTACTGCTAGATATCTGGGCCTTTATGACTGTTGAGATACCTAAATATGTAAAGGGTTGTGCATGTGTTAATGGTATTATTTATCTCTATTATTTAATCCTTAAGGCAATTAAGAAACTTTCACCTGACCTGGAGTTTTAAATTTAGTACTTCTCACATCACCTCTCACCTGTTTACTCCTCCTCCCCTTTCATAACTGAGACTGATGCCTTTTCCCCCCCTTACCCCCCAACCCTGACTAGGACAGAGTTCACTTTCTCAGTGTCTGACCACAAAGCTCCTTTTGAGGCTTGCTGCCAGTGATTTTCTTTATTTTTTTTTTGCAGTTGATTTAAAGATGTGGTTATGATAGTTGTGGAACTAGTTGAACATTTTAGGTACTTTCTAGGAAAAGATAACTGTGTTTATTTCAGATACTGAGGGAATGTGTTTATTTCAGGTACTGAGGGAATGATGAATTCTCTGTTTCTGTTCAGGTCAGTGGGAACAGAGGCTACATCATCAGTAGCATCTGAAAGGTTAACTGTGTAGAAGGTTTAAAACTAGATGATATTCTGTTGCAACAAAATGGAACTACAAAAATTAAACTACCACTATCACTTTAATTTTTACAAGATTTCTAGAGTACATTCATTCCTTAGGGGAATTAAACTGAACTCCTTGTTCTAAATTCATAATTTTAATCCATGCAGCATTTTGTGTAACGAAGATAAGCCAGGAGCCTACGAACTTCACCTCTCAGTGAAAGATTACTGCTTCGCTAGGGAAGATCGCATCATAGGAATGACAGTTATTCAGCTGCAAAACATAGCAGAGAAAGGTAGCTGTGCATCTTGGTACCCCTTGTTGAGAAACATCTCTGTAGATGAAACTGGGTTAACAATTCTTAGAATACTTTCTCAGAGGACCAATGATGAAGTTGCTAAAGAATTTGTAAGACTTAAATCAGAAACAAGGTCTGCTGAAGAAATGGCCTAAAATACCCAAGTAATGCAAGATTGTCACCGCCACGAACATAGATACAATGCTGTTGTCCGAATAGTGCATGCATGTGCAAATCTGTGGGAATGTTTAACTAACTATGTTTTCAGTGTTTGCCAGTACTTATGTACTATATTTGCAAGGTATGTCAAGGAGCTGTATATCTTTTATACATATTTTGGTCTTTGGTAAAGTAATTGTTCCAATGAAGTGCCAAATCTAAGATTAAGAGTAAACGTTTCATCACATCTTTTTAAATGTTGATTTCACCTCATCGCAGTTCCTTTATTTTTTAACATTTATTAATAAATAATTAGCTTTTTTAATTGATAGGTTGTCTCTGTTAAACTACTGTGTTGCTTATTCTAAATTAAGTTACCTCCCTAACTATTATGTCAAAAAAGATGTACCTAGTTTTCTTCAAACTATCATTTTATGCAAGCCTCATTTTAGGTATCTATCTTACTGATAACTTTTTCTATCACTACTACAGATGCAGTTACTTATAGAAAGTGTTTGTAATTTTATAATTACCAATATAAAGTAATGATTTTTGCATAAAAACTGAAAAAGGATGGAAATATTTTATGCTAATCTTTTTCCAACCTTTCATAACTATCACTGTGAAGAAATGCTGTTAAAGCAAGTTCTCAAGAAGCTGTGCTTATCAGAGTTTGTTACTGATGTTTGATATCTTGAGATAACTTTGTTCTTCAAAACTGCCAAGGTAATATCATATTTGTATTAAAAGAGTAAGTCAGTATCTGTAGAAAAAGACTGCCGTACAGTACAGTATATGTGCTTTTAAAAAATAATTTTTTTAAATGATATGGTACTGTACAAGGGTTAGTAGTTTGGAATATGTAATGCCGGTTTGTGGTTTGTTTCTAGAAATTGTTTATGAAAAGAAAAGATGCTGTTAGCATTTTCACTCAGAGTTATTAATGTTGCTTTACATACTTAGCTGTAACATCAGTTAAGTGCTTTATTTCTTTATTTTTTTTAGAAAAGTTCAACAGTTTGTACTTATGCAACATTACTATGTATTGCACTAAAGCAAACTCTGTGTCCTGTAAATATATTTAGTGAGAAATTGTAAAATAAAGTATGAAGAAACTGCTTTCTAGTTTTGTCATTTGATATTATTTACATACCTACAGGTCTCATGTGCATGTGAAGCCCATGCAGTGGGCTTGCAATATAGCTTTATAACATATCAAAGTACGATTCCCAGTGTCTAGCATCTGGCTTTTTTATAAGTGTAAGATTTGATATGTCAGTGTCCTAAAAACTATAATAAATGAGGTAGGCATATATATTTAAAAAATATCATGTTCTGTAATAATACACAGAATACACATAATACACATATTTGTCATTGGTTTTGGTTACGAGTGTTTCTAATAACACAGGTTGGAGTTTTCAGCTTTGCTTAGGGAAAAAATAAATAAGAAGGGAGGGCATATAGCAAGCACGTTGATGCCAGTCTTTTAAAAACATAGTACATGACTCCACATAGGTAAACCAGATTCTCTCCAAGATACCCTTTTGTGAGATATTTAGTTGAGATTTTAAGGATGTCTTCCAACACCCTCAATCCTCTTGCTTGAATACTAAAAAGTAGATTTGCCATAAGTATATTTAGACATTTAGAGAAGATCTGCGCAGCCTTTAGAGAGTTAACAATACTTCACTAAGATCATAGTGGGGAGGGATGGGACCAAAGTTATCTTATTAGTGTATATCCTGCTGATAAATATGCATTGCAGAATACATTATGGCAGAGGGAGATATTGATGGGTACATTTTTTAACTCATAACTTCAGAAAGCCATTTCTCCATGTGAAAAGTTATGCTGAAGATTTCACATTTCAAAAAGTAGTTCATTAAGTTAGACATTAAGTGACCCCTTAAACAATTCTGAGAATGTAACTTTAATAACACCTCCTAAATATAGGTTACGTGTAATTGCAAATACTTGCAAAACTCTCCCAAGGATTTAGAGACCCAAAATCAATCTTGAAACTAATCTAATCCTTTAATGTTTCAGATGTATTTTGTGTGTTGTGGTATACTTAAAAACAAAATCCAGGTGTGGCTCCAGTAACTTCAATAAAATTAAAGAGGGTTTTATCTGAGTCTGTATAATACTGCCTCCTGAGAAATTTCCGTTTGTATGTGCAAGTCGTACTGCTTCCTAACTGTATTTCTGCAAGGTAGAAAAGGAACAATAGCTGAACTTGTCAGTGAAGTCAATTACTGCTCTTAGTGGTCTCTCTCAGTTGCAGACACTACAACTAATCAGGCGATCTGGTAAAGTAAACCCTTATAATCTACGGCTTTAATGTTTCACTGTATTTAACAGAAAAATATTTACTCTCTGCATCAAAATCTGTCATATGGAAGATGAGAGGAAAATGTGTTAACTCTACATTACAGGGCTGTTTTAAACGTTATGAATCAAAATGCAAGTATATGCAATGATGTAGCACAAGCAGGTCGAACTCAAACATTTCATGTAGTAGACATGATTGATACGGAAAAGGTTTCAGTGCTATTTTAAAAGCTGTTATATTCTCTTTTAGGGAAGTAAATATCCCATTTTAAAAAAAAAGAAAATTAATTTCAATTTATGAGAAAATTTTCTTAATTCAACTGAGCTAACCTTAGTGAACTAACAGCTGTTTCTGCAGTTTCACTTCTCAGTGACAAGTGATGTAATCAAAATTCGAGTTGGAATTCCATTTATATTGGTTTGTTAAGAGCTAATATAAATACATGCACTTAGGGAAATAAAGGAGAAAAAAGACAGGGGAGAACAGTAAAAATTAATTTGAGAACAAATTTTCCATGCTCCAAGGAACAGTTACTACATGGAAATGATTTGATGTGCACCTGGAAAAGACAGATACATTTAGAGAAGCTTGTGATATGACAGCACTTCAAATTAATAAGAAGTATACTTAGAACTGACAATTTTATATAATTCTGTTCAATAAGGGTTAAGAGAGAGATTTTTGTCCTTTCTATTTTGTTTTCTATGATGGAAATATGTAATAGCCAAAAATAGGGAATTTAATTAAATTTTCCTCCATGTGCTTCATAACTAATATCTGACCAAAAAAAAGTAGTAGTAATGTGTGAATTAAATATGTAAATGTAAGATGAAGCTAACACTAGCAGACATTCTGAAATCTAAAACAACTTATCTAAAATAATTTTATTTTGTCTAATGCCATATTTAAATGACACCTGCATTAAGAACACAGCACTTGAACTGGCCTTTAGCCTTTTCATATGGAACTCTGAACCCAGGAAACTGCTAAAACACCAATGGAAACATCTCTCAGATGGAACTAGATCTGCATGGTTCTTCATACACTTTAACTCTTTTAGGGACTTAAATTTGCATCAAAATAATAAATACATAGGTGTTGGGCCATCACCAAGAGACTCAACAAGATCCAGCAACAAACGATGAAAATATTTTTCAAATTATTTCCTCACTATTGACTGTTATCTATAATCTTTTCTATGCAAGTAAATCTAGACTTCTGTGACATTTCAATCTCCTCTTATGTCACATATATGGACTTTTTACAAGGGCACGTAGTGATAGGATAAGGGGTAATGGCTTTAAACTGAAAGAGGGTAGATTTAGATTACATATAAGGAAGAAATTCTTTCACTATGAGGGTGGTGAGGCACTGGAACAGGTTGCCCAGGGAAGCTGTGGATGCCCCGTCCCTGGAAGTGTTCGAGGCCAGGCTGGATGGGGCTTTGAGCAACCTGGTCTAGTGGAAGGTGTCTCTGCCCATGGCAGGGAGGTTGGAACCAGATGATCTGTAAGGTCCCTTCCAACCCACACCATTTCATAATTCTATGTTCCATCACTGAAAATCCCCCTAAGACTGATTCTAAATAATTGTAAAACGTTTTTCTGTACCCTGGAAGAATCAAGAAACCTTTTATGAAGAATTCAAGAAATGCATGTGCAAATGCCACCATTTGGCTTAGTTTTCACTCTAGCTTTATTCCCCATACACGTTTAGCAGAGTCATAGCTACTATTTTCTTTGTGCAGCTTCTTCACAGGCATTTTCATTTAAAAAGAGATCATTTACACAAGCTTACTTAATACAAGTATTGCACACTTTTAAAAGGAGAGTTAATTCCAAGAAGCTTTATGCGTTATTATATTTGTTTCCCCTATAAATTAAAGAAGTGATTTACACAACTTATTCACATTAGTTGTTAATAGGAATTGTTGGCCACTATAAATCTCATGTTTAAAGGAGAAGGTGAATTGCTTTACTTTTTACTATCGTTATGTCCAGAAAAGGACACACAGGCAGACAGGAATCTGTTCTCAGTGAAATCAATGGGAGCTTTGTCCAATGGCTGCTCTTCAGTCACTTCATTCAAGCTGAGCAAATCAGCCTGAGTTACTGTAACCATTCAGGATATGGTTTTCCAGTTCACAGGTTGAATGGAACTCTCAAACTCATTAAAAGTTAAGATGGGCTTAATCAGAAATATGCATCAGAGGGAAGTTAAACTCCTCCTCTGAGTACAGGATGTGTTTTTGTCAAAACACTTTATCTTGTCAAGGCTGTTTGTGTCACTAGTACAGGTTTACACAAAAGAAGGGATTAAGGTGCCAAATGCCTACCCTAGAATCACAGAATAACTTAGGTCGGAAGGGACCTCTGGAGAGCATCTGGTCCACCTCACTCTCAAAGCTGGACCAATGAAAACAGGCTGTTACATGGGGAACTGCAAAACCAGATGTACCTTCAGGTTTCGCACCTTAAGATAGATGCAATTAGGACAATAGACTAATTGTTAGACTAATAATCTAACAAATAGCTCAATCATAGCTGTGATATATGGCAAATAATACATATAAACAGTAGCTTCCATGGCTCTATGGCTAACTTGAAATTGAGTGGGCCTCTAACGAAATTAGCATCATTGCCTTTTAATAGTGATAATTACAAAATCTGTACAGGGTCTCTGTATAAGGGTCTTTCATTATGAAAACAAGATGTAACAAAATTAGAACATGGCTGAGTTTATGGATTTTATCATTAGTTAATGCTAATCAAGAATATAATTATTATTTTAGTTTTAAGCTCTCCATTAATTCACAGCTGTCCAAAGGCAGCTGTAAATGGTACATCTAATTCCTAACACTTGCTATTTTATCGTAAGAAAGCGACTGTACAAAATTTGCTTGTAGAGACCTTTCATCCTTTCTGCATGCCCTTTTCTCTCTGTGAATAAATGTATGCTGATTTGCAAGGTATAATCAGCTGGGAAGTTATTACATTAATGTATTTAAAGGAAAGACCTACGTCTAAGTTCTTCTCTCTTATCCAAATT